ATAGTATGTTATTGTACCAAAAGCCATATATTTCTGATTCAGTGACTTAGGAATTTATTCAAAATAAGATTGTCAGGATTTTTTTATAGATATGTTTGTTGATATTATTAATAATAAATAGAACACTGCAGACTAAATTTCTGACACCGGAAAAAGAAATTGTTTTGCATCTACTCAGAGTTTTATATGTAAAGATAGTGATCAAAATATTTTACAGAAATTATAAAATTATTTTAATATTTATTAATTTTGAAAGGTAGGTTACAAAACAATATTATGATTTTATTTTTACAAAGATAAGTTACAAATACATAAAAAGTTTGATATCCTGTGCACTTCAAAATATAAATGATAGTTATTGCAGGTAATGAGAATGTAAGAATAATTTTATTTTTTATAGTTTATTTTTAATATTCCAAATTATCTTGGGTTCATATTTCTTAAGGCTTTATTATAAAAATATTTTATCTTTGGTGTGCAGGAGTGAAAGGATTCAATTGTGAGCCCTATCCCTGCAGTCATCATGTCTGACTGCTGCCCCCTCCACCTTGCCCAGCCCCTGACCCAGCGCAGCTTTGCTGATGAGGGACCACCTTCTTCCTACTGAGTTCTGACATCTGCCAACCTGCTGCCTCACCTTAACTTTATTTAGCCCTAAATGATAAGTGGGCCTGCTGAACATTAAAGCACTTGGCAGAAACCACTGGTTACTCTGGCCAAGATCCTTTCATTTCTGCCTTTCTCTAAGAAATCGAGTACTCTGAAATGAGGGAAGCTGGGTGCTGGCAGAACTAATGGAGGAAAGAACTTGCAGCATGCAGGCAGGGGGGCTGGCTGTGTGATAGCAGGAGCAGTCCCGATTCTGAGCCCAGCCTCAGGAATGATGGCTCAGACTTGCTCCTGGAGTGAATGTTCCTTCATGTCAGAAGAAAATGGGATGATGATTACAATGCTGGTGTTAATGCTTATGCTATAATCTCTATGAGGCAGCATCTTATAATGGCATAGACTCATGCTTTGCATTCAGACAGACTCTTTCAGTTCTCAGCTGCCAAGGTCAACAAATTGCTTCAACTTTCTGACCCTCATTACTTCATCTGTAAAGTGGGAACAGTAGTATCTGCCTCACAGGATTAATATAAGGCTCAAATGGCGTGAAATACATGAAGATGTCTAGTATTGTTGCTGGCCTTCAGTAATTGTTTTCTCTGTCTGTCCATCTCAGTGAATATGAAGCTGAGTATGACTGTTTAATGATCCTAACATGGTCTGCCTAGCATGAGGGAAGGATTAGACCAGGTCCTGTGGAGGCCGCACGGGAACAAGAGTGCCAGACTGTGGACTCTGCAAGGGAGCAGGACCACCAGGCGGACAGTCAGGGTTAGTTCTTCACTCAGCCACACCACTGACTTGATGTAGTATTGGATCAACTGGTTATCCATTTATGCCTTGGTTTACTCTTTTGTAAAATGAGGATACTACTACCTGCCCTAACAGTTTTACAGAGGTTATATGAAGTTACTGAGTTTAAATGAAGTAACAGGACAAAACAGTGTTGCAGTGTGAAATACTATGCAACTGTCATGTAAAAGAATAGATATTTTTTTATAACTAAAAAAGGATAATAATGGTCTTTTCACATATTGTGAGAGGAGGCTGTGGCCCTTAGTGCTAAGGAATTCCATTGCGAACCCAAAGGAAAGCAGATGAACAGTTCTCTCCAGTGCAGTTTGCTACCTCTGAACACCCACTTGAGGGTCAACTGTGAGTCAGTTCCAGGTCAACAACTCACGTTGTGAAGATTCTATTAGATAAAACATGCAAAATTTAGCCCAGTGTCTGGCAAGCAGTAAGTGCTCAGTAAGTGGTAGATGTTGCTATAAATCATTCTAAGAACTCTGGTACAGATTGGGGGGAAAATTAGTAAGTATTTTCATTGAATAACTTAAAAAGTCAGGAAATGATAGTAAAATCATGGTACCTAACACAAAAATGTTTGCATAGTTAATGACTAGTTTTGTAAGGACTTGCATGCTCATCATTTTGAGTAACCCTCACAACTGCCGGTACTCCTTAAGAAGAGACTAGCATCTCCATTGGCTAGACGAGGACACTGAGAATCATTGTGAGGCAGTGACTTGCATAGTACCACCCTACTGAGAAGCCAGCTCAGCACTTCTGCCCAGATGCTCTCCCCCAGTTCCCATCTCTGTCCTCAGACTGCTCCGAAACCCATTTCTCCAGAGAGAGCTTGCGGCCCCCAGTCCTAGCTGGTTGAAGCTGTCAGCACATGGGTGCTACCAGGCACCACACCTGAGTTAAGGCAGCTGCCGAGGGCAGAAGCATCTCAAGGGTTTGTGCAGGCTGAGTGAGGAGGGCCCAGAGAATCATTGCGAGGCCAGCTGCTTTGCCAGAGGGCTGTTGTCAGCCCTGCAGCTTTGCTTTCCCAGCTAAAAAAATGTGCAGCTGTTGCTATGGCAAGAGCCCAACTGTTGCCTGGGACCAATTGGTTTCTGCCCTTTCCATTACATTTTCAGTTCGCAGTTACTGGCCAAGGTCTGTGGCCTACAAATAAAGATGTCTAACAGCCGCGGTGCTGCTGAGCACACAGATCCCAGTCACTGTGCTGCCCCCTTCACAGCTTCCTGCCACAGGCCCATTCAAACATGGGAGGATGCTTACTAACTTGTATTATGGTTGGTCTTTCATTTTTAGGGGAAGTATGTGTTTATTGCAAAAAAATTGTTTAAATATGTAAAAGCATAGAAAATTAAAATTTCAATAATGACCCATTTAACAAATATTTTCTTTGCATTTGCTATGTACTAGGTCTTATGTTGAATATAACAGATACAGGCATGAATAATATAGTAGTTGTTGTTGTTGAGTACCATTGAGTCAGACCAACCCATAGCTGACCCTCAGGCAGATTTTCAGAGGCAGTTAATCGCACAGGAGGAGATTGCCCATCCTCTTGTAGAGCAGCTGGTGGCCTCAAACCGTGTGCCTTTGGGATTGCAGCACAGCTTCTTGCCACTACACCACCAGAACTTTTATATATATATATTTCATTACTAAGAGACAATCACTATTAATGTTTTGGCATGTTAACATCTAGCTTTTTAAAATACACAAGTTTTCAATGTATTTTATACCATTTCTACTATGATTTTGAATAATTTTTCTTAATTTGCATATTAATAAGATAATTTTTAAGTTCTTTTACATAGTATCACAAAACATTGAAGAAAATATTTTTTCTTGGTTAATTATAATCCACACTTGTGAAACTTTAAACATTTCAGATGCATATAATTGTCTTCATACATACCCCCACCTCCAAGAAGTAGCCAGTCCATTTTCTTTTCACTTTCTACTGTGATTTGAGTGAAAGTTTACAGAGCAGGTCGATATTGCCTTCCACTATTCCTGCATCTCTGTTTTATGATACTGACTACGATCCTCACATTGTATCAGCACGCTTCCCACTACCTTCTGTGGTTCTCATTTCCATACATTCTTTTTTTCTTTCCCTTCCTGTTTTCTGAGCTTTCTCCCTTGGCAAATACTGCCCTCGCGTGACCTTGTATGATTGTTTGTTCTAAGAACTGAGTACCTCATTGGTGTTACTTTTCACCATAACAATTTGCTTATTGTGCACAGGGATAACATTCATAGTTTCATAGTTCCAGGTTCATGGGGTGACTGAGGGCCGTAGTCCAGAGGTTCCAGCAGCCTCTGTAGGACCAGTAAACTTTGGCCAAGGAATTAACCACTTTTAGCCATTGTGAGGGAGGTCTGGTGTCCTAGAAGTAAGAAACAGAGCTGCAGTCCCAAAGGCATATGGTTCAAATCCACCAGCTACTTTGCAGGAGAAAGACATTTTCCTTTTGTGTGCTTTACTGCCCCTGAAAACCCACTGTAGGGCCAGCTATGAGTCACTTCCAACTCAATGGCACACAACAACCACCATTATAGACTTCCGATGGTCTAATGGTTAAGAGTTACAGTGTCCTCCTCTGTGTTCTACAGCCTCTGAAAACCTGCTGGAGAGTCAGCTATGAGTCAATTCCACCTCAAAGGCACATAACAGTAACAGTCATTTTTTATGGTTATATATATACAACTACTTCTCCACTGTATAATTTAGAGTTTCTGGGTTGTTAGGTTTTTTAATTCAAACTCTCTACCATTGAGTTAGTTCAACCCCTGCGCCCCCCCACCCTGCACTGGGTTTCTAAGGCTACAAGGGAGCTGCCCATCCTTCTCCCCAGACCAGCTAGTCATTTCTACCAGAGGAGATACAGCCTTTTAGTTAGCAGCTCAGCCTCCTACAAACTATGCTTTGAGAGCTGGAATAAATACATTTGCATGTAGAATTTAAGGAAAAATTTTCAGACCTCATTTATGTGGTAATTTCCCAGTTGAGAGATTTTTTTTAGATTAAACAGTATTATGACCTTTTGCATCAATTTGAATCCTAATCAATCATATATGAGCTTATCCATTCCACCGGAACTTGCTAGGATTGGAAATATTGTAATTAAAAACCGCAACATCATATTTTGCTAACAATGATAATTGAATTTTATCTTGTTTTAATTTGCATTTTTTCAGTGTTACTGAATTTTGCATGTTTGCTAACCAGATGTACTTTGTAATTTTTCAGGACTATTTTTTTTCTTAACTATTAGAAAATCTTTTTTTTCATCAATATAACAGTGTATCTGAGGAGTAGTTCATGAAGAGAAAAATGAAGCTGATTTGTCTGTCATATAAAATAGGAGTTAAGAATTTGAGTTAAGGAACCAAAGTGCCCAAGTTTAAGTTTCGTTATTCTAATTTCGATTATATATCTGACTGCTCAGTTTTCTTCCTACAAGATGAAGATAGAATGTGAGTGTTGGGCATTATTAGTATTTTCCAAGTAACCTGTTCATCATTATGTAATACTTGTCCCTACCGTTTCCACTCTCTGTTATACTGTCTTGTTTCTACAGATCAGTCAAATGGCTGACGACACAGTTGCAGAGCTGGACCGGAACCTGGCGGTGAAGACCAAAGAACTCATTGGGTGAAAATCCACAGAGTCCAGTTTCTTTCTTTCTTTTTTTTTTTTGTCAAATGCCTTATTATTATTATTATTAAATTTTATTCGTTTTAATGAACATTTACAGAGATTTTGGGTTTTCATTCATTCATTGTTGAGAGTCCAGTTTCTTGAATGACAAATTGGAATCTGTCTACCTATCTGCAGGAAGGATGGCACTCACATGTTAGTCTTCCTGAAGCCCAGCCTTCATGGGATTCCCAGACCTGCTCACTCTCCTGATCTTAACCGCTGCCCATCCTGTTCTGCTCTGGGCCTGCTATCATGTGTGGTGCTTGGAAAATACTTGCTACTGATGGAGAACATTGGGGCATTTGCCTTGACTGTAGGTGCAAACTTGCTACTTATGTCAGAAGCAGTCAAGTCCTATCCCAGTTTGAAGTCTGCTTTGGCTGATGTGGAACCTACCTGTGACTAGCCCTTTGACAAAGTCCATTTTCACCAAACAGTAAATTTTAAATAAAAGAGGAAGAATAAAAACCACAAACTAAAGGCTCAAGTTGGTCTGTATTGATGATCTCTAAGGACCTATATAAAAAGCAACTAGAATAGTACTTTTCTGTGCTTCTGGGTCAACACACTTGCTAAATACCCCCTCTCCCGCCTTCTTGGAACATTCTTCTATTCTTCCTCAGCTGGCCAATCTTTATACTTTAGATCTCTGCTTGATTATCAACACTCCTAGGAAGTCTTCTTCCTCTACTAACCTGGGAACCCTGGTTTTGGCTCTGATAGCACCATCTACTACTTTTATCTGAAACTTATTTGTTCTTGTTACTAATTAGTCTGTGTATCTTAAGAATCTTCAGAACTTGGCATAGTACCTAGAACTTAATTGTTGTTGTATACCATAGAATCGGAACCGACCCATAGCTGACCCTTTAGCAGGTTTTCAGAGATAGTTAATTGCATGGGAGGAGATTGCCCATCTTCCTGCAGAGCAGCTGATGAATTCGAACCGCATGCCTTCAGGATTGTAGTGCACCTTCTTGCCACTAGACTACCAGTGCTCCCTAGAACATAGTAGGTACTGAAATAATTTGTGCTGTAACTGAATGACTTATAGTAGGTGCTCCACAATGCTAGCTTCTTTTCCCTTCTGTCCCTTGCCTTTGTCTTCAACATTTACTTAGAACCAAATGCCTTTTCCCCAGAGTTTTCCTGTCATTGATAAAGTGGTTTACTATGGCTCTTCTTTGGCTACTAGGTTAAACTGATTTTCTTCCCCTCATCCTCCTGTGTTTTCTCATTCATTCATAATGTAGCCACCACTAGACATAGTTCTGGGCATTGTTTTCAGTATTTGTGGTAAACATGAAAGATAAGCTTTGTCTTCATCATCTTTCTCATTGCCATCAAGTCAGTGCTCATAGCTCCCCTCAGCAGGTTTCCAAGGCAGTAACTTGCATGAGAAGAAGAGAGCATCTGGTGAATTTGAACCATCAGAGAAGCACGGCCTCTGAGTTAGCTTAGCTGCATAACTCTACAGACTACTCCAGCAGAGCGCCCATCAGACAAATGGGGAAATGGAGATTAAACAATATTGGTGGGTAACTTGCCCAAAGTAACAAAGCCTAGTAAATGATAGGGGGGAAAAAATTTTTTTTTCTGTAATCCATTGAACTACTTTACAAGGTAAGAATTGATCAAAAAAAGACAGAGAAACAGCCAGTTTTTCATTTTACAGCTAGTACAGATTCAAGACCAGAATTAGGTTTAAAATGAAAAAATGCTAACATCTTCTCCTCCCCTGCTTACCTATCCTCAGTCCAACCCCGTTCACCAGCCCTAAGGGCCATCACATGCTCAGAAGTCGTCACTGTGGAAAGGACAAGGATAGAAATAGCAATCAAGGAGTCTTTTTTTGGGGTAAGCCACATGGCGGGGACTTTGCAGAAGTTTTTTCATGAGTGGTCAAAATCCCCCACTCACTGCAAATGTTCTTCTCAAAGATGCAGGATTTTTTAATAAACAGAGGAAATGATAAATTATGTTGTAACTCCACTCCAAAGGCATTTGGTTCTTAACAGCCAAATCCTCTGTAGTCTTTAAATAAACAAAAACTTATTTCGTGAACAGGCGGGTGGAAAATGAAAGATTTTCTGTACTTGGGTTCCACATGTCAACAATTTCTCCCCTGTGTGTATGTTGGCTAAAGCCACGTATCATGATAAATGAATAAAGGAAAACCTCGAGCCCAGGGCAGTCAGACAGCTCAGCAAATGACTTTCAGCTGATTGCTCTATTTCAGTTGACATTTATAAAATAATTTCTCAGTTACTCTGTTTTGGGCTGTGGTGGCACAGACAAGATTGAGACTACCTGTTTGGATGTAATGAGTAATGCTAGAGCAATTCATTCATCCCTTCTCCATCCCTCAATCTCATTCTCTTTTTCAAAGAGAAAAGCTGGGTATGGAAATTCTCACACTTGCCAGAAGAATTAGCCACCTCCTCTATTCAGTTCAACAGCTTTCAAAGCCCCATGAAAAATTCAAGCCAAAGAGAATTCAGGAAATATTTTCCCCTCTCTTCCCCCCGCCCCTGCTTTCTTTCATCTGTGTATATGTGCGTGTATGTGTGTGTGATTGAAATGACAAACTGGAACATGAAAACTAAAAAGCTGCTCACAATTCTCCATCTTCCTCCTTTTTAACAATTTGGTATGTATTCTTTCAGACCTTTCTCCGTGCATATGTGAGTCAAAGAAGAACCTGTTTTGTTCAGATTCTAAAGCTTGTTTGACAGTAATGATGACGTCATTTTTCCAGAGTGTCAAGAATCGGGAGTAAACAACAAACAACCACCACCAAGCTGTGAATTACAGCAGTAGTAGTACTGAGAGCATCAAGAACTAGTATTTGCTTGGTGGATGTTTTTCAAGAATTTCTATGTCATTGTCGCATTAAAACTACTGGGCAAAGTTTTAAAGTTAGAAAGTCCAAGCAAAAAGGGGGGAGAAATGAACACACACTTTCACTATAATTATAAAACTCTTCTTCGATAAACATGATGTACAGTCAAAAAGAAGGCATACTCTTTATTTTGGAAGTTGAAATTTTCATATATAGAGAGATATCTTAAAGACAATGTTGTTTAGATGTTCTGTGGGGCTTGGGGGTTTTTATTTGTTTTTATTCTTTCCTGGATCTTGGGACTGAAATAGTATGTTTCAGTCTCCTGTCATTCATTCATATTGTGTTTCTTATTACTCTTGTGCATTTTGCTTTACGGAGGGACTGCTGTGTGATCTGGTGCACTGACATGTAAACTGTCTTCATCCCATTCAGTGCTTTGAGTCTGAATTCTATCTTGTCATGTATCCAAATCACAGCCTTTCTTTTGTTTGCATCCGTTCTGTTTATTTTCACCATCACCATGCAGTAGGTACATTTCTTTTTTGGAGTTAGTTTTGTTCTAGGAACCATTCCAAAGCTCTTCAATAGGTGACTTAAACGCATTTACTTTTATTGATACCTCTGATGTGTTTATTTGGGTACTCTAGTGGCCTACTGAAGAAGGAGTCACACTGCCAATCCAAAGGTGGGTAGTTCAAATCTACTCCTTGGGAAAAAGACGGACAGCTTTTTCTGGCACAATTTAAAGCCTCTGAAAAATCCCACTGGAGGGTCAGTTATGAGTCAGTTTTGAGTTGCCAGCAGTGAGATGATGAGGATGTGTTTAGTCAAACTCATTTACTTTATATTTACCTGCAATAGCAATACTAAGTGATTTGGTGTTTAAACCTTCAGGAGATTAGAAATTAGATTGATGAGTAGGGTTACTTCTGTATAGGGGACATTCGGTGTTTGTTTAATGAACGGATGAGTGATGAACCATTTCTCATATTTCTTCTAGTATCTTTCATTTTTTATATAACCTGAAATACATTCTTACATGTCATTCTTCCCTAAAACCTTCAATGGCTCCTCATTGCCTTCTGAATTTACAAAATCTTGACCCTGACATTCAGTAAACTTCCCCAGTCCAAGCCTAGTGTACCTTTTCACTCATTTCTCATAACTCTTCTGACAAAAAAAAATTATTAGACTAAATGAAATGAACTGTTCAGAGATTTTATGCTGCTTTCTCCCACTTCTGTTCATTTCCTTGGGCCATTTTCTTTGCCTACATGTATGTCTTTACATTCCTGCCATACATAATAGGCAACATTTACCTATCCTTCAAAAACCCTTCTTAATCCCACCTCCTCACTGCATGAAATTATTCACTGTGTGTGTGATGTTTCTTCTGATGTTGTTATATAACATGAGTCACAACTGACCTTCCAGGGTGTTTTCAGAGGCTTTAAATCACATCAAAGGAGACTGCCTGACTTTCTCCCTCAGAGCTGCTGGTGGATTTGAACCATAGACCTTAGTGTTGGCAGCTCAGCTTCTTACACTAGGCCACTCGAACTCCTTTTCTTCAGATATCTAGGTGTTTTGATGGACAACAGTGAAATGCTTAGCTGCTAAGCTGAAGGTTGGTAGTTCGAACCCACCCATCAGCTCTGTAGGAAAAAGACCTGGTAATCCACCTAGACATTTATAGCCTTGAAACTCAATGGGAACTGATCTGCAGTTCTGCTTTGTGACACGGAGATTCTATGAGTTTTTTTTTTTTTTTAAATCTATCAAGGGCACGTAACTACAACCACTGGTCACCCCCACTCTGTTGTGCCTCAGGCACCTCGAAGTTAGCCTGTTCCTCCTGGAGAGCACACTGGGCCCACACTTGCTTAGCCTCCTGCATTTCCTCTCTCAGGCATCACCACCAACTCAGATACCAAGCCAGAACTTTGGGAGCCTCCTTTGCCTTCCTCTCTCTCAAATCCTTGGTCATTCAGTCACTTAGTTCTGTCAAGTCTAACTTCAAAATATGTTTTCTTTCCTTTCTTTATGCACCCTTGAATCACCATTCAAGGGAGGGAACACGTGGCCTTGGCCAAGCCTCTGAGCACTGGGCCTCATTGCAGCGTGTGAA